AAAGACACTCATCAGCATCCACATGGTTAACTGAAGTCTGATTGGCTGCACATCTTCACTTTTTGCAATAGCTCATACTAGAGAGAAAAAAGAAGAAAAAAAAAAACCTGCTTGTCTGCTGCATAGCTCACAGTGTCTATGTCCCATTTAGCCCAGACTCCCTAACACTTGATATCCTGTCTGCCGTATCAGGGTCCTTACTCAACGCTTTAGCAGACACACACAAAAGGCGGCTGCAATGCTTCACAAACCCAGGAGCACTTCAGAGCTGACCCATTTTGTGTTGTGTTAGGGAAGTACTTTTTTTTTTTTTTATCATCAGCTCATTGAATCACTGGAGGAAGTCATACACAGACTTAAAGAAAACCAAAGAACACAGACAAATGAACTCAACACTTGCTCCCCAAGCTTTTATTTACATACTGATCACATGGAAACCTTGACCTTAAAAAAAGTTTCACTTAACATATGTAAAAACAAAACAGTATTGAAACCGCAATAAAAATACCAACATCAATTAAAGAAACACAATGATGCACAACAAGATGCCCCCATGTCTGAGGATACAATCATGGCGCCATAGCGGTGTAGGTTGGTTGATGAAAATAACTTTGAAAACAGGGCAAAGGGTTTTATCCCCCAAGTACTATATATTTTGAAAGCCTCCATCAGGAACAACATAGTAAAAGCAATATAAGAGGAAACAAACTGATGTTTACAAAACACCAAATCAAGAATAACCACCAATAATAAAAATATTAAGATAACATCAATTCAGCTATACTCTTGCAACTGCAAATAAAAACAAAAAGGAAAAACAAAACAGAACCTAAAATCCAAATAACTTTTCATTTTTTTTCCTTTGTTTTTATTTCCATTTATATTTTGTTGGCTGGAACAAACTTGTTTATTAGGCATCTCTGCTCTTAAACTACAGTGACTGATCAGGCTGCTGCTGTTCAGTAGCAAACACCATAGTAGACAGGTACACTTTAAACATTTCCAAAACTAAGCAGATAAAAGTGCAATCATAGCCATCAACTTTTTTACTCTGCAGCATCGCTACCCGCCACTTTTACTATGGAGGACTGCTGCTGCCACCAATCTGTCTTAATTCCAGGATTCGCATTTTAGAGCCATTGAACAAGCTTTGCGAGTAGCTGGGAAAACATTGGCTGGGCAAATTCTTCCATCTTATTAAATCTCAAGAATGCCTTGCTAAGTGCAACTAGTGCCATTTAGAGTCCATACAGCACGAGTCTCTTTCCATAGAGAAGTGAGAGAAAAGGGATAATAGGAAAGGAGGGAGGGGAGGGGGGAGAGGGAGGGATGCCCGCAGGGAATACAGCCAAATGAGATTTAGATCTATTGAGATAAATAGAAAGTAAAAAAAAAAAAAAAAAGGAAAAGAAAAAAAAAGACACCCAATAGCCAAATTAGAGATACTGTCAGTAGAAAGAAGTAAAAACAAATTTAACTGTACAGATAATGCAGTTCCTATTAGAACTCCACAGTGATCCTCTATCCTTCCAGGAGGATAACATCTCTTGGTTCACCTGCTGGTTAGTGAACCGTTCAGAAAACCCTCCGCTACACATTCTCTACCTTCATAGCTCCACGACACCTGGACATCACTGGGTATAAAACTTCCCCACAAGTTCCTTTTTACAACCCCCTTTCTAAAATAAAAAAAATATAATACCAACCCAATGGTTAAAAACAAAATCAACCACACCTGCACACCTAGGAAACTTCTTTCACCAACTCTACACCCGTGTAGCGGTTTTGGGCAGATCCACCCCATGGAGAGGTGGAAGAGCCCTACGCGCATTCTTAAGACTTATCATACAGAAAAAAGAAAAGCACCCGCTGACCTATTGTGACAGAGGAGCCTGCATTCATAAGATAGCATGCACACAACGTGCAGTCAAAGCAGCTTCCGAAAAGACACGCAATATGCATTACAATTCAGCCCATTCACAAGGTCACGAGTTAGGGGGATGCTGGTCTAGTCAGGTTA